TATGAATAATTGCACTTGGATTAATAAAAAAAACAAGATCAACAGCAATTTATTTCTAGTAAAAGTTGTGATCTGTTGGTTACAATGATGTTGAAGGAAAAAATGTGTACAGTAGGCCTTTCTGATTGGGCGCGTGATTGGCAACCTGATCAGTTTTCGCAAGCGAATGAAATTGTTGAGTTGAAAGTAGGATACATACGTAGGCTGTTTAGCTTGAGCATGTTTTGACAAGAAACTTATTCAAACAAGGAAATTCCATGATTCAATCCCTAGCAGAGTGTTGTTATGTACAGTGCTCGAAGCTTCCTTGTTTTTCTCTAGCTTTATTTAAATTATACTTTTTGATTCAATGTTTCTTTATTTCTTCTTTCTTCCAGTTGTCATAACTTTCATAAAGACAGATCGCCATGGCAAACAAGGTAAATCATATATGCGCCAAGCGTTCTCGTATCTCCTTCGGCCCGTAGTAATCAATCTTGTTTCTAAAACATATTCCAAGTACACGGATCTGTGACAGTAGGAATGACTCTTCAATCATAATCAGGGGCACCCAACGAGCGTATAGTTCAAAACAACATAAACATAGCATTGTTGAACGTACTTTAGTATTTAAACGGTAGATAAAGGCTTATTTTTATCCCCTAATAATTTTTCATCTGTTCGGATTTCCTAGCTGAAAGTATAGTGATCCGAAAATTATAGTGATCAAAATTTACCTTTTCGAAAATTTCAGCCAGGGAAAAGGCTCCCGAAAATTCTAGGTGACCTTTTTAGGGTAAAAATCCGTTAAAAATGGGCAATTATACGATTTTTTTGAAGTTCGAAAATCCTAGGAGAGGCAGGCAAGCAAGAAAATTGTCATAAAATGATCCGAAAATTCTAGACCTCAAATCGTCTTCCGAACAGATAATTTTCCGAAAACTGTCGTCGGGTGCCCCTGATATAATGCACAGACAGATATAAGCGGGTAAAATTGTTAATAAGCTGTATTTAACAATCATTTACCATGGTAAAAAAAGAAAGGATTTTCAGAGTCCACAGGTAGTATAACACATGATTCATGTTACACGTCTTTATGAAACAAATCTGAATATAGTTGAGAATGATTGCGACATTACTTATTTGGATATACTGTTGTGTTGACCTCCTTAAAGAGAAATTTTCAAATTTGGATGTGGATAAATTCTGTACTTTATTCTGGACACAGAATTAACGACGAAAGAACTTACAATAATTGTAATTCTTTTTCTCTTGTTTTTCAGTAAGTTCTAATTGTACTTCGCTTGGGTCTACAGTAATACGGTGTAAAAAAAATCCTAGTTTAAACAACGACAGATTATTCTAAGACTCAGTCTTGAAATTTGTCCTAGGCTTAACTTTTTTCCCATTGTCCAAAAAGGTGATGAGCTGACGGCCATGCGTCCTAGTGAAGCTACAACACTGGTACAAAAGATTGCCCGGCTGTTATATAAAGGACAAACTTGAGCTATATCAAGGGATAGATTTTACACATAATAATCTTTTAATAAATATAATAAATGATGTTGTGGCTGGTAGATTCTCGACCATGGAACCAAAGCATGATCTGCATGTACAGGAACTCAGTTCCTGAAAAACAAAAAACACGAATTTCCTCAAGTTAAGCCAAAAATGAAGAACCAATCAAAATGCTCAACGTCTTTTGTCGTGAGATGTAATGATTGGAGCATGATGTCGTTAAAACTTGTTTTAAAAACTTGAAAAGTTTATTAATTATTGCAAGAGCGGAAATAAATTAACCGGTAACAATAATCATTGCTATCAGTTGGCTTTGGCAATCGTGAAACGAAAGTAAGTTGACTTCAAAAGACGCTGTAACGGTCATCGAGATTCCATTGCATTTTATTCAAACCGTTCATTTTTCCAAGGCATATCTTACATATAAGGTAAATTATTATTCATTCAAAATATTTCTGAGTTCTGAACAAGATTACCTCCTGGTAGACTTTTTTCCAAACCTATTGGCCTATTTCTCAGTACGGTACAGATGGTTTTCCTTGCAGATACTCCTTAGAAAGTAGATTAAAATCATCGAGCGATAAGTTTAGCGTATTCTTCTATTACTTCCGTTCAGATTTAGTTAGAAATCAGCTATTTTGTTTTTGGATAGCCGTGAAAGGCATTTCTTTCTTTTAGTTCACTCGTGAATAAACAGCTTGGCGGCTTGACGATGGTCTAGCCCAAGCAGCCTTTTTTCCAATACACCAAATATGGTAAGCGCCAGTTCAAAAAGAATTATTATTATTTTTTGGGGGGGGGCTGGGAAGGGTGGGGGGGGCGATTAGAGTCTTTAGCCTTGGTACATAAAATCCTATTCGATCTGCATAATTCTTCACATCCTATCTCATTCAATAATTGCTAATTGTTAATCATATTAATTGAGTTTTCCGTTGACCTACTCACGATATTTCATATCATGATCAAACTTTAATTCTAGTGCACAAGTTAGAGGACGTTGATGATGCGATCACGAGTTAAAGTGACCACCATGTTGCTTGTACTGATATTTTGGCTCACTGGTCTCTGCTCTGCTAAGGACAACAAACCACCAGACACCAAGGTAACTGCATTCATATCACTGGACGAAAAAATGGATTTACTAGGGTAGCCAAATTACAGCAAATGTGTAGCAAATACCACATTTGCACAATTTTGCGCAAGAGCAAAGACTGATATTGCACTAGATTTGCTATCCGTAGCAATGACGGTAAATGCCACATTTGCACAACATTTACATCTTGGTGCAAAGATAATGGGCAGCCATGGATTTGAGGGTCATTTGCAGATGGTTCAAATGTGTAGGCAAATATGTTTCTTTGATCTATATTTGCACATTACGCAAATGATAGCGCAAATCTGCTGTTTTGCACAGCTTTTGCTTTAGATGTAAAAGCATGTAAACCTGTTATTTTCAGAACGTTTACGCAGCTTTGCAAATGTGAGCGAAGTATCTAATTTGAACAATGTTTGCTTGGGTTATCATGGGTGATCAAATTTCCATAATTGAACCAGATTGCTTTGCATGGCAAATGTAACCAAACTCTTTGTATTAAACATGTTTGCTCACGAAGCAAATGTTAGCAAACCTAAACTTTGAACAAATTTTCTAGGGTGTGCAAATTTGATCAAACACAAAATTTTGCTTGTAGCGGCAAATGTGGTCAAAAGTCAGCAAATCTGATCAAACTGTTAGTATTGTACAATTTTTCGCTCAGGTAGCAAATGTAATCAAATTCTGACTTTAATTTGGTTAGCAAATGTCATCAAACCCATAAAATTGAGCATGTTTTCTCCAGTAGCAAATTAATGTAAATTCCAAGGTTTAAACGAGTTTGCTTGGGTTGTAGCAAATGCGATAAAATTTTAAAAATAATTTAAATTATAATATGGCTCACTTCAGTTTCTTAACAAGTGGCCATAATTAATCAAACATTAAAGTTACTGAAAGAAATTCTAGCAGTGACCTCCCATTAATGTTCAAATGATTTATTCCATAAACCAAAGTGGCTTACACATTATTACAGACATTACAAACTACAGTATAAAGCTGTACATACAGCTCTTCATATTAATTCCCAATTTTACTGTTCGTTGATGTTTACTTGCCTCCACTCTATGCTCTATCAGATCATTACTGACTATTAATATTATAAGAAAAGTGTTCTTCATCTAAATGTGTAAGATATTCTACATACAGCTGTAGGTGTTTCAGAGTTGCCTCAAACCTATTTCAGTTCTTTAGGTTTTTGCAACTCAGAAACAGGTTAAAAATCCTTTCACCCTTGGACCAATATTTACTTATGACAAGACTATTTCTTACTTAAACTTTTGTATCTAAGGACCAAATCCTGTTTCAACGAAATGGAACCCTCAAGACACCCATTCTAATAAATAATTAGTATTTTTGTATTTATTGCTATTTACAGATTAAACAAAATTTGATTCTGGTGGCATTTTTTCCTTTAGGCTCTATTAGCATGAAAGGCCTAATTCTTGCTACCAATTTACAATTTTTGCTGGTATAACAACTGTGTTATAGCATTTAGCAAACTAAGAAATAGTTTAGGTACATATAGCTATTCAAATTCAGATCAGACTTCTTTAACTTCATTTTCGTTGCTAATGGTTCCTGTATGGCCGCGTATTGGATATGCTCTTAGAGGAAGCACCAGCCGGAGCTTCTAGTACTTGCCCCGTTCTAAGAAAATTGAGGGTCATGAAAGTAATGACCAGCTATAAGTATTCCACAGCATGTCAACATTACCATTGTCACTGTAGTTGGTCCCAATGAAAGAAGCTAATAATTATTTTAAACTCAGTATACATGTACATGTAGTACAAAAGGTTGATCTGGCTAGCCTGCAAAATAACTACACTGCTGTCTCTCATTACTCTTTTTCTTGAGTCATGTTGCAATCCTTTGCAAAATTCCGTAATAAATCATGACAAAAAGCAGGGTGTACCTAAATTTGTTTTGTTTTTTTGTTCAAGCAGGTCAGTTGCAATTGCTGTAATCGGTACAAATGTACTGTGAAGTGGTGCCAGCAGAACTCAAATGCCTGCAGTTAAGCAAACAGATTTAAAAGAAACATGTGTATGTATATTAATTGGCCTTTTTAACCTGCTGACTGGTACATTACTTGCAAACAATAGCCAAAGGATTCTAATGAAAAATTTATCACATCAACCAATTTGATCTACCTGCCACCAGATTCTCAGGACAAATCAACACCATCAGGATTTGTACTGTTTACACAGATTTATCTTTTTCTAAAAAACAGTGTCATAAACAGAGAGTGATTAAAGGATTACTGTATTTGCAGAGCTACATGTACATGTACCTGTAAGTATGACCAGTCATAAATAATCTGGAATTTCTTTAAGAGCCTTGGATTAACTTATATTTCCTTATCACAAAGCAAATTCAGGAGCATTATCTGGTGCCTCCTGCTCTGAGGAGAAGCCATTCGTCCTTTCTATCATCATTGAGTAATGACAAGCTTACATGTGACTGTTTTAATTTTGCTTTACTGTTCAGCTTGGCAAAGAGGTTTTTACAGGCTAAGTTGTTGACTCCTCCATGCTAGAGGCCTCCTGCAAAGCACTTTTCTCGGATTTGTCATCTCCTTGGTCTGTATTGCCTTGCTCTGAAGACATGTACTCCACAATTATACAAGCTTTGAACTTACAACAATCCTTCTTCGAAATAGAGGTTGACTGGAAAAGGGTTGTCTCTTCAGCTTTTTCTGCAACAAACAGAAATTATACATAATTGAGACCATTAATATTGAAACTAAAGCTGTAGATGCTTGTCATGAAAAATACTATTGTCCTTTTCTGTCTAAATATTCTAGCCTTTTATAGCAAAAAAGGTTGCTATTAGATATTACATGTATTATTACTGGCTCAGTCACACTAGGTGACTAAACTTACTTATTTCCTGAGTTAACTGATATCAAAATTAACTAGTTTAAACAAATTGCTGGCTCGTAACTTTAATGTCTCAAATCTAACCCCAAGCGGTCATCATAATCCTGATTACACTGTACCTGTTAAAACTAAGACCTTCTTTGAGCAAAAACAAAACGAAAAAATGAATGCGAGAAACCCTTTTGTAACAAGACAATTGACTCCAGGTAAATCATTGTATTAATTTTATAGTGAGTGTCCCACTACATCACTACCATAACAACATTATTGACATATTACTTAAAACTTCATGAACCTGCTTCTTCTGCAATATTGCCATCACTTACAGTGTATCTTGGGAACAAAAGTTTAATTACCGTATTTATTCAATTAACCGCCCTGGGCGCTTATTAAATTTTTGGGCCTTGATAGTGGGCGCTTATTCGAGGTGGGCGCTTATTCGAGGCTGGGCGCTTATTAAATTTTCGCCATTCTCAGCAAGTGTAGTATGTTTATTTTGCTACAAAATAATAAATGGTAATAACAAAAAGCGAAGAAGTAACAAAGCAAGGTTTCAGCCCAATCTGTAAAATACTCTGAAGAAAACTCCGTCTTCGGGAGGGTCTCTTATTATGTCTTATTTGAGTTTGTGTGGGAGGGAGTGGGGTGGGGTGGGCGCTTATTCGAGGCTGGGCGCTTATTAACTTTTTCTGCCTTTGGGATGGGCGCTTATTCGAGGTGGGCGCTAATTCGAGGTTGGGCGCTTATTCGAATAAATACAGTATACTATAATTGCCTCATATGAGAGAATCCAAGACAGTTTTAGATTCTGGATTCCACGCTGCGGATTCGGAACTTTTTCAGTGGATTACTTGGTTTCTGGATTCCAATCGTTTGACTTGTATTTCAGGTTTCAAAGCTCAGAATTTAGGATTCCGCAACAAAAATTGCCCGAATTCTGTATTCCATAAGCAAAAATTTCCCGGATTCCAGAATCCCTTACATGGGGTGATCATAAAAACAATCAGTGAAAGCAGGGTACCATGATCTAAATTCTAGCTACACTATGTTTTTTTAGCACCATGGCAGTCACTGCCTTTACTCCCCCTTTTAAATTTTGGAAAAGCCTTTGGAGAAAGTAGGCACTAGAGGATAAGGTTAATTTTGGCCTAATAGAGGGGAATTAACGCTTGCTTCAATTCTTATTAAATTTTCCAAGACCATTTATCTGAAGAGAACAACCAAACAAAAGATTACAGTATTTTTTACAACAACAGGACAAATAAAGTTTCAGGAGTAGGGGTGGTCCTTGTTGATTACTGAATATTGGAATGCAAATGTAGGTATTATCAAATAGCATCATTAGCGGCTTAACAGTAACAACGAACTTTCTTATACTTACTGAGCATTTCTTTTACTCCCGATTAGTTGCTCCCTCAGCATTTGTTTGTCCTCAACATTTCTCCTGCCTCTTCTTAGTTTTACAATGTCTGCTAATTAAAACAGCATCGATTCACCGAAATCTATTTACTAAGTACTAACGGCTGCTTTTCTTGGATCCACTCGTTACTACTTGATCGTCGCCGATGGAGATATCTAGATGTCTTTCATGGTGGATTTTCGTCGAAGGATCTATAAGTATGCAGTTCCCTCGAGTTCGAGCGATTATTTTTATAAGTTCTTCGAGGACACATTCGTTCGATAAATTCGAACAAATAAGACTGGCCGATTCCTCCATACTCGACAGTCAACCCCACAAAGACGGAAAATTCGAAACCTCTTGATAAATATGGCGTTAAACGTACGAAGTAAAAGCTGATGGCAAATCGATGGCAGTGGAACGCGTTAACGGTCGACGAATTTCAATTGTTGTGCCTCGTTCTCGAACGGTTATGCAGACTGTCGCTGACCAGCACCACTGAGGCGCAAATCCTTGGGAAATCGGGCGCGCGGTCTTTTGGCGATTTGGCGGGAGGAAGAGATTGCCTATGTTGCTGGATTTCTTCTCAAGGATGTTCGAAATTTAAAAGGTAAAGTCGATGTATTTTGCTTTGTATATCGTGCTTCTACTGCCACATATATGTTATAACCGGGAATAAACTACATTTGCATCCATATTTACATTTGTAGCATGTATGAGCACGCGTGTCGCGTGCGTATATGTGGTAGTGATCCAGCTGAAAAAAGCCTTGTTGAAAAATTTAAGTGGTGTTAAGTCAGCAAAATATGTAGTTATGCAATGTTAAAATGCTAATTTATTGGTATTTGGCAGAAGTAGCTCAAGATTAATTGCTTGAGTAATTTATACTACCTCTGGCGCTATATTGACATATTGAGCGTAATACCTGTACATGTACCATTGATTTTGACAGGGGTAGGGTGGAGCCTTTATTTTATATACGTTCAGCGTGCAAAGAAAGTAGTGTCCGATAGCCCGGGGCTAGCGGATTTTGCTATCGGGCTAGTAAATTCTGTTCTTCACTTGCCCGACGGGCAAGTACAATGCAGTTTGAGGAATTCACCTTACAGAAGAACTGTTAAATCAAAAATTTTGTGGGTAGTTGAAATGACGTTTGGGCTAGTAAATGTTAGCTTCAGCTTGCCCGAATGGCAAGCTGTAAAAATGACTTTCTTTGCACCCTGTACGTTACTGTCATTTTTTTCTGTTTTGTTTTGTCATGTTTTCATATACAAGGTTGTTTTGTTTATAATAGTTTATAATGATACAGCTGTACATGTAAGCTGAGTCAAAAGGTCAAAAATGCTAAAATGTGCCACATGTGTATTTATAATGTTCATAAAGATAATGGCAACACAAGTAACACAATTCATTTAATTTCACAATATTATCAATAAAGGTAGAATTAACAGTTATTTTTAGTGGGTTTAGTGACTTTTTTGTGTATTTGTTTCAGATTTTTCCTTGAGTGGTACTGGAGTTATTTCCAATGTTCTTGAAATTGAGTTGCATCACCTGAACTCTCCAAAAGATAAAGAGGTCAATGAAATACAGGTTCAACATGGGGAAGCTGTTTGTGGTCTGTGCATGAAGAAATGCTACAGGGGTATTCCAGTGGGTCTCAATTTATTTACAGTAATCATTTTTTCCTCTTCACAAGATGACAGAATTGAAGCTTATATACTGAATGCTCGCATCCATCAATACCCCATTTGTTTGGGGTAAATGTCACAAAACAGAAACCTCACATGTACTTCCTTGGGTTATATTTTTACCATCTTTACAATATTATTTTTCTTGTTCTTTGTGCTTTGCCCTGCTAAGGAAATTCATGTCCCTTTCACAGTGTTCTGCGGGAACATAATGTACTGAAATTGTGTGAAGCTATAGAACATTTGCACTCATACAGGTTTCCCCACAGAGATATAAAGAGTGACAACATTATTCTTACAAAGGTAAACAATATGTACTACCCAATGCTCATTGATTTTGGAAAGGCTATCTTGCTATCGGATGCCCCTTCAAAACAGCAGTCCATGACTGCTCACTAGCACTGACATATAGCTTAAGAAATATGCCTCAGATATTATGTTTTAAAAAGACATTGTTCATATTGAACTCAAAATCAGGGTTGTAAAGAGCAGCAAAGAAATTATTCATTCATGTCTGTGCTGAGTTTCTATTCACAAATGATATGAAATACAAAGCAATTTCACCATTTGTTGTAGTATTGGCTGTTGGGCTTTCAAAATGTGGCCATTTTTAGGAGGCTTACCATCAAGATGTGGTCATCTCTAGGTATAGTCAGTGAAAACTAGAACAAATAGCAGTAAGAACAAAATTGTCAGTTTTGATGTGAATTTTCTTGAATAAATGGCCATGAGGAAATTGTGTACAAGTGAATAATCTCAACCCTGACTTTGAAATGCACAGAACCTTTTTTTTTTTTTTTTTTTACCAAATTTAAGGTACTGTGGGTGGCCTTGTTATTGTTAGCTTTTTAATAATAATATTATGATGTAGAAAAAATACAGTAAATGATCTGACTACTGGACCTTTGTCCAGTAGATTTGTTGTAGTGTATTTACTTAATGTAAAGGGGAGGTAGTGTGGGCCCTCTGTAACTGTATACAACAGTTACTGTGTCATTTTGAATTTTTAGTTTTAGTAATTGGAGATCCCTGCCCATTGTGCGACCCTAGGCTTTACTATTATCAAATGACAGAAGGGGAATGTAACACATGCCCAGGTTATGTACCATTGACTCACTTCGAAGTGGTTATGTGATTTAGAATTGGACCCAAAAAAAGACCGGGGCCCAGTTGTTCCAAAGACCGATTAGCACTAACCCAGTGCTAGATTTTAACCTGCGTTTCTTTTTCCTTTTAATCAAAAGCATTTTGTCAGATAATTTTCCCTTTTTTTTAAGTATCAAATCACCAAATTGTAGACAAAAGGAATTCAAATGAATTTGTTTTTAAAACTGTCATATCTGAATTCATATTTCGTACTAACCTTGGGTTATCTTAACCAGCTTTAAACAACCCAGCCTGGAAGGATAATAAATGCTGCATGTTAATTTGTTTCACCGCCTTAGTTTTTTCTTTATAGCTTACAACTTTTCATGATCCAAGGCCAACTCAGAGCTCCTGTAACCCAGTAGGGGTCTGTTCATTTTTTAAGGGGGGGGGACCCTCTCTTCATCCTTGTATCCCAAGATCAAATAACCAGGATTCAGGTGAATTTTAGCCAGCAAAAATGCTATGACTTTTTTTGGATTGAATAGGTAGTACTTAATGAACAGTGAGACTCAAACTCAGGGTAGGATTTGACCATTCGACCGGTAGCTCCTGTAGATCCTCCTTGTATCCCAAGCAAATAACCAGGCTTCAGGTGAATTCTAGCCAGCAAAAATGCTATGACTTTTTGGATTGAATAGGTAGTGCTTAATGAACAGTAAAACTCAAAATCAACATTAAAATCAGTGGAACTCAAACTCAGGGTTGCAAACAACAAAGTTAGAAAAATTAGCCTTTCATAAATTTGTCAGCTGAGTTAATGTTCAAATAAAATTGTGAGCAGTTTCACCATATTTTGTTGTAGTATTGGCTGTTGGGTTTTCAAAATGTGGTCATTTTTAGGAAGCCGGCCATCGAGATGTGGTCATCTCTAGGTGGGCAGTCAAAACTACAACAAATACCGGTTAAACTAAAATTGTTGGTTTTAAATTGAATTAAGTTTGTTGGTTAAATGGCCATGAGGAAATTATGTACAAGTGAATAATCACAACACTGAGTTTGAAATCCACAAAACTTTTTATTTCGGACCAAATTTGATTTTTTAGTATGATGTACAAAAAATACAGTAAATGATCTGACTACTGGACCCAACCTTGTGTTATCTTAACCCATCTTTGAGCAACCCAGTCCAGAAGTTTAAAGGCTGCATGTTAATTTGTTTCACCACCTTAGTTTTTTCTTTATAGCTCTAGACTTTTCATGATCTAAGGCTAACTCAGAGCTCCTGTGATCCTGTAACCCAATAAATGTCTGTTCATTGTTTATGGGGCGGGGGGGGGGGGGGGGGCTTTGTCGGGTAGGATTTGACAATTCGACCGGTAGCTCCTGTAGATCCTCCTTGTATCCCAAGTTCAAATAACCAGGCTTCAGGTGAATTTTAGCTAGCCGAAATGCTATGACTTTTTTGGATTGAATAGGTAGTACTTAATGAACAGTAAAACTCAAAATCAACATTAAAATCAGTGAAACTTAAACTCAGGGTTGCAAACAATAGAGTAAGAAAAATTAGCCTTTCATAAATTTGTCAGCTGAGTTAATGTTCAAATAAAATTGTGAGCAGTTTCACCATATTTTGTTGTAGTATTGGCTGTTGAGTTTTCAAAATGTGGTCATTTTTAGGAAGCCCACCATCGAGATGTAGTCATCTCTAGGTGGTCAGTCAAAACTACAACAAATAAGTCCCGTATGATATATGCCCCTAATATTCTAGAATCAGTATAAATATTGTCGGAAATATAGAAAGAACCCTGCAGTATATGTATTAGCTATTCAGGGTCTTTATGATGACTACGTTGAAACAAAACACTGCCATGATCAAACCTTAAATGACAGAGGCAAGTGCCTCGGTTTGCCTCATACTGGCTATGGCCCTGACTGTAGGAAATACAGTGCATCAATGATCTGACTACTGGACCTTAATAACGAGTGGATTTGAATTAGTGTATTTGCTTTAAATTAGTAGCCAGGGAAAGGTTTATGCCAGGGGCGCTGTCAGAAAGGGGCACCTTTTTCATGCTTCAGGTATGAAAGGATAGGGATTTCCTGAGTTAAAGTATATGACAGGGTAGACTATCTGTCATTTCGTTTTGTAAAAAGACTAACAGAAGAAATTTGTGAATGTAAAATTGTCAAAAAAAATTAACTGGTTTCTGATTCCTTTATATTAAAATGACAGTGCACATAAAACAGTTAACAGGAAAGATGCATGTAAGGGGTTGGACCTCTGGGCGGAGTCTCACAGCGTGTACAAAATTTTATTGTAACAATGTAATGTTACAGTTGAGATTGGAAATTTACTTTAGTCACAAAACGGATCAAACATATAGGAAATGTCACATGCACATCACCTTTGACTGTCAGCAAATGTTATGCAGCTCACTATATTTGCTCCCCTCGCAAATATGGATAATTATGATGCAAATGTGCAAATTTATGATACAGCCAAATGTCTAGAAATTTATTGTTTTTGCTCTTAAGGCAAATACGAGTAAACCACATGCAAAAGTGTTCTTTTGGTATCCTGGAAAAACAAGAGCAAATACCACTGCAAATTAGGGGTTTTGCAATATTTTTGCCTGCATTTGAAGTAAAGTGAAAACTGTCATTTTTGCCAAGGATGCAAATTTGAGTAAACTGGTAGAAATGTTGAAGATTTGCCCATGCTGCAAATAAGTATCAAATTTGTATCAAACCATTACATTTACTTCACTTTTGCGTATCAATACGTATCTAGCAAATATATGTATTTGCCCACACTTTAGCCGACAGCGCAAATGTAATGCAAATTTGGAGCTCCAAATTTACCACATATTTGCACCTTTCGCAAACATTAGTAAATCCGTTTTTTCGTCCAGTGTATCTATATCAGATATTGCCATTACATATTTTTTTATTACAGTTAAATAATGTTAGTTTATAGAGACAACTAGGAATGACCCATTATATGTTAATTTAACTAAATCAGTCTGCAAGTTGATTAAGAAGACTACCAAATTCAGATGGTATGATTACTTGTACAACTTGAGAGAGAACATTTTCGCGTTTTAAACAATCAAAATTAACATTTTTACAAATTATAAAACAGCTTCTTTACTGGAAAATAAATTTCTTCTTACAAAATCACAATTGACGATTTCGTTAAAAAAAAAAAAACAATTAAAACTTGGAAAATTAAGGAACTACCTCCTCGCCTGAAGTAAAAGGCTAGATGACAGGTAAATTGTGAAGAGCTATAGCAGTTTGTCGCTGACTTTTTTTCTTTTTGGCAGCCTGTTCAATCTTGTCCATCCTGTAATAATGGCGGACAAGCCGGGATGTGGACATACATGACATGCATCCCAGGAGCCCCTGGGGCACCTGGTCGAGATGGAGCCAAAGGAGACCTGGGCAGCCAGGGGAAAACTGGGACCCAGGGACCACGTGGTGCTGATGGAAAGAAAGGAGCAAAAGGAGAGTCTGGGATCCAGGGTTCCGCCGGACAAAAAGGAGAGCGAGGGGACAAAGGCGACAGTGGAACGCCACGACTGGCTTCACACATGAACTGGAAAGAGTGTGCTTGGAAAAAGGGATACCACACAGATTCAGGACTGATATATGTAAGTACGGAACGTCACTTTGTTACCCGAGTTAAATAATATTCTATTAACTCAAAGTAATTAATTTTTACTGAAATGATTGATTGCTATAATTCTGAAGTCAGCGCGCGGTCAGCGATGATGATGGCTGCTTCTTTTGAAGCTACGGAGTTTTCTGTTAAAGCCGGGCCATAATCGGTTTTATTACACTGTGTCCTTCTCCATTCTTAATTTTCTTGCTTATCTTATGTACATGATTTTTTTTTGTCGAAACACCTTGTGTTAATTAATATTGTACAACTGATGTATTATTTTTTTATAGACTGGAGTAAATAAAAATAAACCACAATACGGATGCTGTTTCTTTATATCTCGTTTAGAACTGTGACTTTGTGAAGAAATACGTGGACACTGCCCTCCATGTCTACTATGCTGGTAACCTCAGGATTCACGGATGTGACGACTGCTGTAGTCGCTGGTATTTCACCTTTAATGGAGCCGAGTGCAGCTCTCCTGGAACTATTGACGGTGCATTCTACATGGCAACAGGCAGCAGAAAGCACAATCTTCACCGTCACCGCCACATTGAAGGGCACTGCAACAACATTCAGAAAGGAAAGGTGCGAGTGGGATTCTCGGTTGGAAAATGCGTCACAGGACAAAAGCTTGCTGACGCATACACTGGTTGGCATTCAATGAATCGCATCTTCATCGAAGAAGTACCGAAAGCTCAGCAGTAGGCCCCGGGCAGTAAGCACGTGTCATATGATGAGCTGGACTTTTTAAAATAAAAGCGTGTTAGACTTGTATTATGTCATTACTGGGTAATGAGGTGTGTAAAACAACGTTTGCTATCAAGTCTGTATCTGCTAAAAATAAAGTCCAGGAGCATCCACTGTTATTTTCAATTGGTTTAATGTCATGATTGCCTTGCTTATTTTCCCTATTGAGCCTTAACAACACGGTACGGTACCTTTCGTGGGATTATAAACTGCCTTTCTCTTTAACTCCCCGAATTCGTCCACCTGAATATTCCATTACGTTTCGCGACTCTTGAGTCTGAACTAAAGACTTTGAGGGGTCACCACCACAATTATATCGGGTCAATAGTTGGAACTCTAAAAAATATATAATATATCTGGCGATTGTTTCAGAGGGAAAACGACAAAGCATTATTACTATTTTTGTCAGTTTAATTTTTCGACAGTACAATAATTTAGGTAAAGATATCCAATTTAATATTTTTTGGTCGGTTCTGAACCGTTATTTTAGGCTTCTTTTTATAAAGCAAGGTGTTCCTAGAGTCCTAAAGAATTATAACATAGCTGATCCTTGAAATTTCTTAAATTCAGAAACCTTAAAAAGGGCAGCCCACAAAATGCAATGATGGATCCTTTCAAACAATACTCAAATGTGACCACAGCATATTTCAGGTCTGGAAAAATAAATGCTGTCATCCGGTCTTATCCTGGATTTATCAAACAAGACATGATCGTCGCAGTTGTGATAGAAACTGTATTAAAGCAATTTCAAATGAAGTATCGGCACAACTGCGACGACCATATGTTCATAAAAATTTGTGTACTTCCTCCATTCAAATCATCATCTTCGTTAGTATCCCAATAAAGTCTAAACGCTTTCCTAACTACAATGGAGGACAAAAGAACTTGGGACTGTGTGAAAAAGCCCTTGCAAGCAATAATTCCGTAGAATTCTGCTCCTAAGGACATTTTTTGTTCGGCGTTGGGTTCATCGCGTTGTCCCCCCCTCCACCTTCCCCTAGCAATGTTGTGGTCAAAAAAAGCACTCAGTTTCACCCATTTTGCTTCAAATTCAACTTTGTTTGGGGTGGGAGGGGAGGGGTCGCTAGTTTTAGTAATATCACTGGAAAGGCCCCAACACTTTTGACCTCCATTGTGGTCACCCAAGAAGTATGCTCAGTAGCGTTGTGATCTATAGACTAAATGCATTCTTCGCTACGTTCTGAGCTCGCACCTCAACCTTTAATGGCGAAGCACTATTCAGTGCGGAATATGTTAGCCCTCCCACGCAGGCGTTTTTACGGGGGCTCGTTTTTCATCCCTCCCCACATGAAAAACGAGCTCCCCTAAAAACGCCTGCGTGGGAGGCTAGGAATATGTGGGCTTAAGGTGTTTCGATACAGGTTTTCACAGGCCATACCGATATTTTTCAATCGCCTTAAATCGATTGTTTTTTCCTAGTCCGATCGCTATAAAATTTTCACCAGTAATTCAGGGGCACCCAACGGCAATTTTCGGGAAAATATCTGTTCGGAAGACGATTTGAGATCTAGAATTTTCGGAGCATTTGTTGTAAAATTTCTTGCTTGCCTACCTCTCCTAGGATTTTCGAACATCTACAAAATGGTATAATTACCCATTTTTAACGGATCTTGACCCTAAGAAAGGCCACATAGAATTTTCGGGAGCCTTTTCCTGGCTGAAATTTTCGAGAAGGTAAGTTTTTATCCCTATAATTTTCGGATCACTAGACTTTCAGCTAGGAAATCCGAACAGATGAAAAGTTTTTAGGGGATAAAAATATGCCTATATCTACCTTTTGAATACTAAAATACATTCAACAATGCTATGTTAAGTGGTTTTGAACTATATCCTCGTTGGGTGCCCCTGGTAATTGGCTATAGATTGAAATTTGTGAAAATGTAGTTTTAAGTAAAATCAATATTACTGTGACAAAAAACTTTGAAATTGATAAACGCCGAATTTTGCGTGAACTAGACCAGCTACTGAAAATCCAGCACTAGGAACTTAAAGTTCGGTGTTTAGCAATTAAATAACTTCCGTAAGAAGTAAAAAATTTTGTATATTTGAATTCGACTAAAACGAAAGCATATTTCGAACCTTAAATTTTCAATAGCCGTGATAGAGTAGATTATTTAATAAAAACGTTATAAATGACTCAAATTATTCTTAAAAGCGTCAGAATGCCGCTTAATATCATACTTCGATGCTAGGAAATTTTGGTGTATTTTCGTTTTTGCGATCTTAAAAACTAACCCGTTTTCTCACCACCTGTCTAAGTGCAACTTCATTCAAAATTTGGACTTTTAGCGCTTTTTTGTATATCTCTGAAACGACTCGAACGAATTTTTTTAAAATCACTTCACATAATCTTCGTAATGTGTATAGTAATGTCTGAAACTTTCATTAAGATTGATTCACTGCAACACCTTGAAATTTCAAGACAAACCTATCCTACGAACTTGTCAAAAATCTGCGTTACAACATTCACTGTTTTGACGTTTTGATAATTTTTCGAAAATAATGCGCACTATACATACCTCCTGTGATGACTAGTACATTTTAGTTTGAATTTATCGCATCTTTTGAATGTAAAACATTGACAATACTCACGCTGAAATGTGCTAGTCATGGATATATGTATTGTCCGCATTAACTCGGAAAAATTAGCATAACGTCAAAACAGTGAATGTTGTAGCGAGGATTTTTGACCGGTTCGGAGGATAGGTCAATTGGTCCACTTTGATAAAGAAATTAATGCAAACCTGATATCGTCAGTCTCTGGGAGTATTCTAAACGTTTCCATTGTTCATTTGAATGGCATTTGATGCCTCATATGACGTTATCTATCGAAACCTGTTAGGCGGACACCCTGTACTAAGCGGACACTACAGCATTCCCCGAGGGTGTCCGCTTAATACAGGTTTCACTGTATCTATAGACTGTTCACAGTCCTCTATTTTTCCGTAAGATCGTCGAGATCGAGCGCTTTGCGCAGTGACAGGCTGCCACCTTGCATGAGTGTCAAAACTACTTAGGGGGCGGGGGACGGTTTGAGAGGAAGAGAGAAATATAGATGGACTGTTAAAATCCGCCCTGGTTAAAACATCACGCCAACTCGCGTTCAGGAGTCGTGACGGGAATTTCACACCTCTTATCATTCATTCATTAAGAAACTCCGCTGGTGATGAAAAACATGCCAGATACATTTAGCATCTATTTCGCGTGTTTACAAATATCTCCTTTCGAAATAGTGATTTTATACATACAGTTTCTGAGCCATTCCTCCAAATAAAATCGGCAAACATGCACAGGTGAAACAATCGAAGCGCTAAGCATGCTCGCTACACCACAGATTACCCGAGAAAAAGCCAGGCATTTCTGAACGGTCATTTTTTCTGCGTCTGCGTAGCGTTAAATTTCAGTTCGCTTGGCAGAAACTGTGTTACAACATTCCCCTGGCTAAGCTGCTTCAGAAGCTTCCTGGCTTACGTGATTCATCCTCAGAATACCAAAAATCCTTCGTGTGTTGGCGCAAGATGTTCCTTATGGTAGTATTATGTAACGGTACGTTTTATAGAAACGACTGGACTTGTCAACGACTTGTCAGTGCCGGTAATTTAAATTAAACTGGTTGTTAGCCTGCATGGCAGGCGTTTGAAAGGGAAGGGAAAGGGGGTTTGGGGCGCGAGGGGCGCCCCTCTCGTTTCTCTCGCACCTAAAACTCTCTTTCCCTTTCCTTTCAAACGCCTGCCACGCGGGCTAACTGGTTGTCAACGCAAATTAAGATCTCTTGTCTAATGACCAATCAAACGCCTGCGTTGCAGGTACAACGCGCTCCGTGAACGCGAGCTGAAATGATGTTATTACAGTCCCTCTATTTTTCTCGCCCCCCTCCCCCTACAGCTATAATCCCCGACGCCCGCCCCCTAGGTACAATTGAAAATCAAGATGGCCTCCATTAACGGTAAGACGCGCTATATTTCGACGATCTCACGAAAAAATAGGGGACTGTGAACAGTCTACACTAATACTTATCCGCTGACGAGTCATTAGTATGGAATTTCTGCGCCTAGTAGTAGCTCAACCAATCAGAACGCAGCATTGATAATAGACCACTAGTTGGATTTTACTAAAGTGGTATAGTAGGGACCACCACCACCACCACTATCACATTTCTATTGTTTTCTTTTGCCACAGGCTAGTTAGCGGTTATTCCTTGACAATATGAATCAACCAATGAATACTTTTTGAAGGTTTTAGTCAACCAATCAAAAAGCAAGACATTTATCGATCTAAAACCTGTCACACCAGTTAAACCCCCTTCAAAGAGCCCGTGATATTATCTTAATGAGAATCTACCACATTTTTTATGAGATAAAGAAAAGAGGTTATGATATCATCCACGTTAATGTATTCTTGCGAAAGGGAAAAGAGATTCTCTGCACGGTAAAAGGATAATTCGGTCTCTACTATACTACTGACAACCGGATGGCGGATCTCTAATATTGATTAAAGGAATTAGCAATATATATTGTAGTAGGCTGGTGTATTCAATAAGTCTAGTCAATTTTCTGTAATAAAGCAAGTGTACAAGTTTAAAGCAGTTGTTTGATGTTTTTGTTCTGTGTTTTTTTTTTTTGCTGCGATGTCCTCATGATTTGATCATGCTTATGCTTTTCGGCTTCATGGACAAGAGAGAATGGAGGTGACTGGAAGTTTAAAACTTTTCAAATGGATATAATTAATACACAAGGACAAGATAGTCATGTAGTTACCTTGACAAGGAGTTCTCTGGGCCCGATCGCTGGCTACCTAGTCTATGTGTATACCCTTCTATTCTCTATCGCTACCCTCAGCCGAATAGAAAATATTACTGTTACAAGTGTGAACAGAAAAAACGACACAATGATACATGGAGAGAGCTGCCAGCTGTCGAGTTTATTATACGAATACGA